TGGACACACTTGATCAGTCACAGCTCCTTCTCCATACACGGAACAGATCTTTTTTTTTTTTTTTACATTTCAGTTGCGTTTTTACCTTTCTTGAAATAATAAAACATAATATGCCAAAAATGGTGCGTATCTTCTTCCGTCTTCAACGTTAAAATGGTAACTTGTTTTTTAAATGCATGCTGATGTGACAGCTGTCACACACAATCTAACAAAATTGTTTGGAATGAAGTCAAAGACAGCGAAGCACTACGAGAGCCATCGTACGGAAAACGCTGCACGCAGTTTTCGGCCGACCGAATGCTCTGCATTCTGGGACTTCACGTGGTTTGATATCTCATTTCTTTTTATTGCCGAATAAGATTCCATTGTCTGGATGGACCACCGTCTGTGTGTCCGTCACCTACCTGGGGACATCCTGGTTGCTTCTGGGTTTCAGTGGTATGAATAAAGCGGTGATAAGCACCCGCATGCAAGGTGTTGGTATGGACATACATTTTCAGCTCCTTTGGGTGAAGACCAGGGCCCTACAGTGAGAATGTTAGGTTTCGTAAGAAGCTTGAAACTGCCCTCCAGCCCTGGCTGGTGTGGCTCAGTGGATTGAGTGCCGGCCTACAAACCAAAGGGTTGCCGGTTCGATTCCCAGTCAGGGCGTATGCCTGGGTGGCGGGCCAGGTGCCCAGGAGGAGGTGTGTGAGAGGCAGCCACACATTGATGTTTCTCTCTCTCTCTTCCTCCTTTCTCCTCTGTCTAAAAACAAATAAAATCTTAAAAAATAAAGTTAACTGCCCTCCACACGGCTGTGATTTGTAGAGCTCCTGCGGCAACTCCACGTTCTCGTCCGCCTGTGGCGTGGTCGGGGCCCAGGTTTTGGCTGTTCCCACCAGTGGGTAGTGGAACCGCACGGCTCCCGTTCGCGTTTCTGTGAGCACCGATGGAGTCGAACCCCTTTCCACACTTCCTTACCGTTAGCGTGTCTCCCCTGGTGAGATGTCTGTTCGTGTCTCCGGGCCACGTCATGATCAAGTTGCCTGCTCTCTCGTTGTCGAATTTTACATGTTCTTTGTGTATGTGGGGCAGTGGTTCTTTATCAGACGTGTCTCTCGTAAATATGTTCTCAGTCATGTCATTCTTTTGGCCATGTCTTTCGCAAAGCAGACACTTCATATTCAGGAAGTCAAGCTAATTTTTTCTTTTATGGATTGTGCCTTTGGTGTTGTATCTAAAAAAGTCCTTGTCTGCCCTGGCCAGGTGGGTCAGTTGGTTGGACTGTCATCCCGTACACCAGAAAGGTCACGGACTCCAGCCCTGGTCTGGGCATATACCTAGGTTGTGGGTTCGATCCCCAGTCAGGGCACATGTGGGAAGCAGCCGATTGATGCTTCTCTCCCTCCCTCCACCCCCTCCTTTTCTCTCCTTCCCTCCACCCCCCCTTCCTCTCTCTCAAAAAAAAAAAAAAATCAGAACGATCCTCGGGTGAGGATTAAAAGAAAAAGACCCTGCCAAACATATGGTCACCTAGATTTTCTCCTTCATTATTTTCTAGGAGTTTCATAGCTTTGTGTCTGACATTTCGGTCTGATCCATTTTGAGTTACGTTTTTGTGAAGTCTGTGTCCGGATTCCTTATTTCGCACGTGGATGTTCAGTCGTTCCAGCACCGTCTGTGGAGAAGACCATCTTTCCTCCGTTGTATCTGCCTTTGCTTTGTTGGCAGGATCAGCTGCGCCCGGGCCGGGTGGCTGGGTTGGTCGGAGTGTCGTCCTGTGCACCAAAGGGTTGCGGGTTCAATTCTCGGTCAGGCCACGTACCCAGGTTGCAGAGTCAATCCCTGGTCAGCATGTGTATGGGGAGCAACCAAGCAGTGTTTTTCTCTCACATCGATGTTCCTCTGTCTCTCTCTTCCTCTCTCTCTAAAATCAATAAAAATATATACTGATACTCAGGCAAAGATTTGAAAAAGAAAGATCAATTGACAGTTATTAGGTGGGCCTATTTCTGGGCTCTCTATTCTGTTTCATTGATTAATCTCTCTTCTTTTACCGATACTACACTTCTTGACTAGTATGGGGGCTTTATTGTGAGTCTTACGGTCAGATAGGGTCAGTCCTCCAAACTTGTTCTTCTATTTCCAGTGCTCCACATTCTTCCATCCCAGTTGCTGCAATGGTCTGCTTTCTCAGTCATCAAAACCACAGCTGGTTCCAGCCCTGGCTGGCATGGCTCAGTGGGTTGAGTACTGGCCTGCTAACCACAGAGTCGCCAGTTCGATTCCCATTCGGGGCACGTGCTTGGGTTGTAGGTCAGGTTCCCAGTTGGTGCGGGGCTCGTGAAAGGCAACCACACATTGATGTTTTTCTCCTTCTCTTTCTCCCTCTCTCTAAAAATAAAAACAAACAAAAACCCCAGAGATGATGGTTTTATTTTAAATTCTATTAAAACAGGCTTGATATGAAGTGATTTTTAAGGACTTTTTATTGGCATGTGGAAGACCAGGAAGGGTTTCCAGTGCCTGTATTTGGGTCATGGCGATGCCACTGTGCATCAGTTTGTCACACACAAGGGAGGCTATTTTGGGGAAGGGCCAGACAAGAGGCTTCCTATTTCTGAGAGTCTACTAGGGACCAGGAAGCATGGGTCACTCAGAGATCTGTCCTTCTGTGCGTCAAAACCTGGAATGGGGGTGCTGTGACGTCCGTAACGTTCTGATTTGGCATTGGTGGGGACTGACCAGCCTCCCGTTTTCACTCAGGATTGGCTCTGTAAAAAAAATCCTGGCACCACGTCCAGCTTTAGAGACATGCCCTGAAGGTGGGGACGTCCTAAAAAGGTCTAAGTTCCAGCTGGCCGGCCAGGTGACTTGGGCAGGAGTGGGGGAGGGTGCCTCCTGGCCTCTACCCCCGGCTGACCCTCTGCCCCACGCTCCCTGCAGATATGAGCCTCGTTTCTACCTTCTTAGAACGGTGCCTCTGCGGATTCCAGCACATGGGCGCCGCCATAACTTACTGAACCATATTCCTGTTTGTGGGCACTTAGGTCACTTCCAGTGTTTAAAAATGTTGCCACAGTGACATCCTCACAGGCACCCTTTATTTCATATGTATGTGATCATCCCGGAAGTGGCACTGTTGGGTAAAAGAATGTGCATTTAAAAAAAAATTTTTAAACATTTTATTTATTCTTAGGAAGGGAATGAGAAAGAGGGAGAGGAACATGGCTGTGTGTGAGAGGGACATAAATCAGTAGCCTCCTGCATGTGGGCCCACAACCCAGGCACGTGCCCTGGCCAGGAGTTCAACCGGTGACCTTTTGCTTTTCGGGATGATGCTCAACCACCGACCGAGACACACCGGTTGGGGCGCGTTTTTAAATTTTTTGATAGGGAATGATGACTTGCTTTTTCTGAAAGGCTTCCTTGGGATTCCACCTAAAATGAAATTTTTTAAAAAAGGAGAAAGCTACTGAAAATGTAATTCACCACCAACAGCCAAACGGTGTCACTCCCTTGGGCCAGCAGCTGTGAAACGTGGCTGCCTGGAGAGGCCAAGGTGACAGAACAAATCCTGAGAGTTTACTAAGGTCCCTCAATTTGGAGCGAGGGCAACCGTGACGGCGGGTGTGGGAAGGGTGCACCTGGGGCCCAGCGGAGCCCCCAACTCAGGAGCACGGGCCCTCCTCCGGGGCTGCTGCCCCGGGTCTGTTCGCACTGCATGCTGGGAGAATCCCTTGGCTCCATCGGCCACTTCAGCAGGCGGCTCCTCGGTTGTGTCCGTACTCTTGTCGGGTGCTCTGAATATCAACTACCGTTTTTTGCAAAAACTTACAGGTTAAAATTTTTTCAGCAGTTTTTAAGTTTCCTAGTTATAAGACTTCACAAGGGTCTGTTGAGTGTTGATTGAACATGCCTGCCCTCACAGAGCTTACCCTCCAGGGAGGATGATAACCAAGATAAATAAAAAAATATGCCCCGTGTTAGGCGGTGGCAAGTGCCACAGAGAAGCACCCGGAAGGGGAGGAGGCCCGGACAGGCGGTGGGCGGGGTGGCAGCTCTTGGTAGGGTGTTTGGGGAGGGCGAGGGATGAGCGGCATGGGGGAGGGGGAGGTGGAACCACGTGGACAGCGAGGGGGGTGGACATGCAAAGGTCCTGGGGCGACACCTGTCCAGTGTCATTTGTGTTTGAGTAAGTGAGGGCAGAGGGGTAGTGAAGAGAGGTCAGGAGGGGAGGGGCCAGACAGGATAGGGAAAAGGGGATGAGAGGGGCCAGGGCTCAGGTGCTGGCATGGGGCCTACACCCCAATATCTCGGTGCCCCCATCATTCTCCGAGGAAGGGAAACAGGCGTGGGTATGTTCCTTAGTCTTCCCAGGATGTAGGAGGCAGAGCCAGGTTGGGAGCCCGGAGCCAAGGCGTCTCTCTGTGGTCTTCACGAAGATCCAGGGTGGCGCCTTCTGCAGGCCGAGCACTGGCGCCCCCATGTGTCCGGGAGGAGGCAGTGTCACTGGCACTTGGTGGCTCTCCCTGTGCACCCACTTGCGTCCCAATGACTTCAAGCCCTTCATCTCCTGTTGCAGTTTGCTGCTTTGGAAAAACAAGTTGGGAACACACCTCGAAGAACGAGTTTCATTTCCAGTCATAGCAGATGGGGCCTGAAATATGAACACCCCAGGTTCCCCTCATTGTTCTCCAAAAGGGTTGGAGAAATACATCCCCATGCTTGAGCCCCAGGTTCTTAATTACCTGTGCTGGCCGACCTTCCAGAATAAACGCGGGGGGGGGGACTCATGATGAGCGCGGGACTCTGATTTTCACATTTGGTGGCTTTGCAGAACCTTGCAGCTCCGATCCTGGAGCTCTGAGCTCCCTTTGAAAGTTATGGCACAGGCTTGTTTCTCCTTTTCCTTTAGAAGGATAATTTTGCTGGGTAGAGAATGCCAGGCCGGTGGTTTTTAGTGTGGTGTCCGTGGTCATCCCACTGATGCCTCGCTGATGCCTGTCTCGTTCCAGGATCCGGAAGATTTAAGCACTGCTGAAGCTCGTGAGGGCACGCCTGCCGCCAAGGCCAGCACTGTCCTGCGGATGGCCGAGAGTCCTCGGGGGCCTGGAGACTCGGGGTGAGTCGGGCCTGGGGCGGTCACTGAGTGCCGCGGCCTACGTGCCATTCTCCTGTGCATCTCCGGTCGTCCGAAACGGGGGCGGGGGGGCGGGGCAGGGGGACCAGTGGTGCATTCTGCTGCACTGGTATTTTCCCACCGTTTCCTGTTTTTTACAAATTCACCTTTGTTTGGGAGAGAAAGACGGAAAGGACTTCAGGGTAAATCGCCACACAGCATACATGCGTGCTTCCTAGGACCCGGGCCTGTGATGGCCCGTTTGCAACACCGTTGCTTTATGCTCTGATCTGTCCTGTGTTTCTCCTACGCGCTTCAGCTTGTTCTTCATCTTCCTTCCTGACGCAGAAGCGCAGGTTGTTGATGTTCGATCTTCTCTTCTAATCTCGACATTTAGCGCCATGCGTTTCTCCCTCAGCATGGCTTTTGCTACATTTCGGCAAGCGGTATTTTCATTTTCGTTTCGTTCAAAAAAATTTTTAAGCTCTTCACATGCTGTCTTCTTTATAGACACACGCGTTATTTGGAATTGCGCTGTTTGATTTCCCGATCGTGGGGATTTCCCCTCTCTGCCTGGCATTGATTTTTAGCTTCATTCTGTTCTGGGCTTGTGTTTCTGTTTTTAAAAACCTGAAGGAGCACTCCCTGGCCCCGACTGTAGTGTCTGAATGATGCGTCCTGCACCCGCCCCATTCTGGTGTTGACACCCCAGCCCCACCGACGATGGCACGGGTGGCGGATGGAGTCCAGGCTCTTGACACGTTAGAGGGGACACGCAGGCCTTCCGCGCCCTGGTTCCCGTCACCCCCTGGCATCGTGCTCTCTCTGGCGGTTCACTCACTGGCCTCTCTTCCCCGTGAGAACGTAAACTCCGGTGCACTGGAACCTCATCCGTCTACCCCTTCTCACCCCCGAACCCAGGACAGAGCCTGGCATGCTCTGAGGGCAAATAGACGGAAAGAGACACGACCAGGCCAAGCTACCTGGTCGCAGGTGGCTGGCCGCTGCCCTGGAGGTTTTCTCTCCTGCGCTCTGGCGCCCGCACAGAGGAGTGGACGTGCCCGTGGGGGTCCCTGGGGGGCCCTCCCAGGACAGAGGAAACAGCCCACAGCTGCTGCTGGAGATGCTTGATGGTGATGCTTGCCTCCCCCAGGGGCCAATGGTGTGTCTTTAAGGGCCGCCCTGGCCAGCACAGGAGCTGGCTGCGTCTCAGCTGCCAGCTTTCTGGCCCTCTGCCAGCGGACTGACCTTGGGCTCCGCCCCTTTGCCACCATTCCCAGCACTGCATTTCTGGGGTTGCCTTAGCGGGCCCTCCGCATACCGAGAAAAGCGAGGGCGCCCCATTCTCATCTCGTTGGCGCACCCATCACTAGTGCCAATTTTCACGAACAGATTTCTAAACCGTCAACCATCTGTCCTGCTCTTAATGACAAATGTCATGGATATTATTTTCCTGGTGCTGTTGGCGGAAGGGGGAAACTGTGTTTTTCTCAAGTCCACAGTTCTCGTGTGAGGGAGTGTGGCCGGCCACCCACTCCTAAACATAAAGCCGCATTCGTAGCAGTTACTTTGCGGGAAGGGGGACATCGGCCCACTTGGTTCTGTGCAAAAAGAAGCTGGGGGGGAGGCAGCAGCAGCAGAGCTGACACTGAGGCCCAGAGGCTTGTCCCAGCCTGTCCCAGAGGCCCCCACCCTGCCAGTACATGGTGAGCCTGCACCGGGGTCTGAGGCCACCTCCTCAAGCTGGTCAAGTTTGGGGGCTGTTTTCTACCTTTTGGAGCTTCTGAGGTTGGTGCGGGCTGGTGCTGAGCTGATGGTGCCGAGGGGTCTGGAATCGCTGCTCCAGAGGTGAGACAGGGCCATCTGTCCCTTTCAATGGGCACAGCCCCCCCCCCCCCAAAGAAAGCCCACTTGTCACTTTCTCCTGGTCTTATTTGGGCTGGGACTTTGGGAAAACTGGCTTGGGAGGTGGGTGGTGTCAGTCACTGGAGGAAGTGGGTGCTCTGGGGCAACAGGACAGGTCCCACTGAACATCCTGCCCCACAGCTGGTGGCCTCTGGGGGGGACAGCACAACTGCATCATTCTGGAACTCCCGGGCTTCGGAGGAGGCCCAGGAATGGCTGGTGACAGGGTGGTAGCAGCTGACTCAGAGTGCAGGTCATGCCTCCGTCCAGGAAAGCAGGGCTGATGGGGGGGCATTGCGTCCTTGTCCCCGACCTGGTGCTCGTGCCTGACCTGGTGCTGGTGCCTCAGGGTCAGGTCCTCACCTCACGTTTCAGGCAGCACTGTCCCTTCCGGAGGTAGCCGGAGAAGCACACTTGTTTTGCAAAGCTGGGAGGGCGATGACTGTTGGCACCGTGTGCCGAGAGCGCTCTGCCTGCTCCAGGGGCTGCCCCTCTCTGTCCCCGGGGCTCGGTGGCCTCTCAGGGTTCATCGGGCGTCACAGTCTGCATTGGGCTTGGAGATGAAAACGCTTTATGTTTATTCAAATTAGGAGTAATTTAAAATTACAATTTTCATCTTAATTGTGTGTACTTAAGGATCCCACTTAAGTCTCTGGAAATAATTGCAGAGTAATATTTTGGGAAGTGATATTAAAATGCACAGATGTTGCAGTGGAGGAAGGTCCCCGTGGGTGAGCTGCAGCCCTGACAGAGAGGGTGTCAGGACAGGTGCACCTCCCCGCCCCCGCCCTGCTCTGGACCAGGCTGCCGCCGGGGCCCCTTTCAGCACCTCCCTTCCAAACTGGGTGCTGCCAGGTCCCAGGAAACAGGTCGCACCGTCACCGCGGCACTGCCAGTCTCTCTGCTCTGGTAGGGATGGGAGGTCGGGATGGGAGGTCGCCCTGGCAGATGGGGCAGCAGATTCTCCGGGAGCTTTTCTGTACCCTGCACCTTTCAGTGGGCCTGGGGGTCCTGCACAGCCCACAGAGCAGAGGGTGCTGGCTCCTGTGTCCCTGCGAGAGCGCAGGCTCTGTGCCCAGAATCTGTGGGCACGGTGGGGGGCTCACCCATTGCAGAGGGGTTTAAATTCTGAGGGCTGCCCTCCCTGGGGACATCCTGGAGGAGTGCCAAGGCATCTTTCCTGCTCGTGCACAGGATATGGGTGCTGGGTGCCACTGGGTGGCCACAGGGTCTTGACCAGTGTGCCCTGGGGCCTGCTAGCCCAGAGGGAGTGTCCTGAGGGGCTTTGTAGCCTCCCAGCTGTCAGTGCCAGGCAGTCCCCACTGTCCCCTCCCTCCTGCCATCCTGCCCAGCAGCTGAGCCGGGGCAGCCTGGGGAGAGGGGTGACCCTCAGCCTGCTCTCCAGGAAGGACCTGCGGGCTGCTGCTGTGTCTTCCTGGGCCAGGGCCATGACTCACAGTGACACAAGCGCTTGTGTGCGGCATTTCCTTAGCACACGAAGCAGCAGCATCCCCGAGCCATTCAGAGAGCACCACCACTCTGGACACGCGGGGACTCCAGGCCCCGCCCCGAGCTGGGCAGTGGCCCTGAGCAGCTGTCCAGGGCCTGAAGCCCGGTGAGCCCGGCAGGTGTGGGACATGGCGTGTTTGCACAAATGTGGTACATTCCGCACAACGAAGGAGTCAGCGCCGGAGCGTTACTATTAACGAGAGTCCATGGCTTACTCTGATTTCCTTACTCGTTACCTGATGTCCCCGCTGTGGTCTGGGGCAGTTTGGGTTTTCCCTGCTTTCGACGACCTGGACTGTTTGAGGTGTCCTGGATTGGTGTCCTTACAGTGTCTCTCAACTTGGAGTTGTCTGATGGTTCACCCCGGCTTGGGGTTTGGGGGAGGAAGACCGTGGAGGTGACATGCCCTTCTCAGCATAGCCTCTCCTCCGACCCTGAGGACTCTCCATGGAAGGTAACCTTGATAACCTGGCGGGCGGAGTCTCTGCCAGGCGGCTCCTGGCTGTCAGGTCACCCCACCCCTTCCGCAGTCCTCTTTGGAAGGAAGTCACCAGGCGCACCACCCACGTTTAAGCTCCGCCCCACAGGGGAATATTGACGTAAATCACTTGGAACTGGTTCTGCTCGGAGACTTGTGTGGTCTTTCCTGTTTACTTATCCTAGCGTTCGGGTACATCAGTATGGAAGTCGCAGGTATTCGTTTTGTGTTTGGGTCATAACGCAGCCAGCCTACATCCTTTGTTTTGTTGCTCTGTTCTTCCATCTGAGCGCTGTGCGTCCGCCGCCTCTACCTCTGCTATCCCTCTACCTCCGCATCCTGTGGGCGTTTTCTTACTGCACGTCTCAGCAAGAGGGTCCAGGCCCATGTCGCCTTTCCCTCTCCCAGCCCTAGAGTCCGCTGTTTCTCCAGGGTCCCTTGGAGGAACCGGGGTCTGTGTGTTGAGCATGCTCTTTGCCGCTGAGGTGCCGCTGCTTGGGGGCCCTGCCAGTGGGCGGAGCCAGGGCACGTGTGCGCGTGCTCGTCCGTGTACTTCCGTGTACGTGTACGCCTGCACGCCGCCTCCCCTTGCGTCTTGTATACGTGGCTCCATCACACAGCCACGTCCTTGACCCAGCCCAGAGGAGCCACGGCTGCGTCCGGGGTGGAGAGGAAAAGTTGGACGAGCGCTTTGGAGAGCAGAACCAACAAAAGACTTGGAAGGTCGAAGGAGTATTTTTAGGCATACCAAAAATATGCCTTGACACCCAGTGTAGGGAATAAGACGCGCAGTTGACATCACCGTGAGCATGCCTTCCTGCTCAGCTCCATAAAATGCACTAAAATACAGTTACTGTTTATTACAGGGCACGTTCTGAAAGCTTTACTCTATGTATACACCTAAATGATATTGTTTTGCACGTTGTCAAGCTCCATGAAAACATATTTTACTGTGTTCCTGCAACTCGAGTTTTCATTAACCGAGAACTTTTCCCTGTGTTTACCTTCTCAGAAATTCTGAGGAAAGCAAGAGCGACTGTTTCCGTGGTCTGGATAGAGAACAGAAGGGTTTACAGCAACGATGTGATGTTTTTTCTAAAAGGTTTTACTT